TGTGGTATAAGTACAAATACAGTATTTCAAAATAATTTTTTGAAACAACAGTGTATTTTTTGCCATTTGTTTGAAGAATATTATTCAGGAGAGCAGCAGCTCAAAGAATATTTGAGATTTTGCTTTCTATTACAGAAAATAACCGAGGTTTTTGAGCTCTATACAGTTAATTTGTCATACGTACTTCTTCGTAATCATTATCCCACCAGCATCCTAGTTCAATGCACCTTTCTTTGTTCGCATTTGGTGTTGGAAAACAGTCAATTCGAGAGTGTCGCGGTGCAACTTGAGCACTGGAGAACCCAAGAACGAATAGAAAGACCTCAGTAACTCTTAAGATCATCTAAACTGTAGTATTTGCTTAATAAGTAACATTGCTCATATAAAGATCAAATACCATTATGAAACTGACCAGTATTATAAATTATTTTTAACTTGACTTTTTATAACGTAAGAACTATAATATTTTGGGTCGTATTTTACGTCGCATAAATTGCAGTTCTAATAGAAAAAATTGCGTATAGTAATCCTACTGACTGTTTGTTATGCCGGTCTACAGTATTTCTGCTTTATCCAGTAATTGAAGGTTTGTAAAAAGGGCCCAATTATTTCCGATTTTTGCCAAAAAGGTGTAAGAGTATTTAAAAGTTATTTAGCAATAAATAGAAATAAAATAAAAAGAATTCATAAAGCAAGTTTATTTTGACTGAATGAGGGGTAGAAGGTACAGCAACTATCTCACTAATCATTTCAGTTAACACAGTTAAACGAGCCCTGCTAAGTAAGAAGCACATGCCCAGAACTAAATAACACTGGGAGAAATGAAAATAGTTCATTATCATTTTCATAGTGTACTTATATATTGTCAAGCGAAAGTGCCATGGAAGATTCAGGTAGTTCTAATTATAGCATTTCACGTCTGATGGACAGTTGTGGTAGTTTCAGTTGTTAAAATCAAAAATCGAAGCAATAAACCGTATCAAGCAAAACATATGCTTCAGCGTCAAACTTAATGATGTTTTTTTATCGTCTGGTGCAAAAATTCAATTGGCATTCTAAGAAAAACTATTGCAATGC